ACGCGCAGTTCTGGTGAGTGGTTGGCAAGTGGATTCGACATGATGTTCCCGCCGGGGGGCAGCCAGCGCGCGCGCTGCGGCGACGATCGCCGCCGCTGCGGCGGCGACGGGGACGACGTCGATTTCAGATGTAAAACTTTTTGCGGATCTTATGTGGGGTCCGGCGACGGGAGGGAAAGGCAGGGGTAATAATGAGAAGGTAGCGAGGAGGGCGGGGGCGAGGCAGAAGACGAGGAGAAGGACCACGCAACGACGACGACGCCATCATCGGAAGCGGTGGCGGCGATGGCTGCCACGACCACCAAGGTGACAGCGGCGCGTGCGGCGGCGCTGGCAACGACGACAACGACGACGACAGTAGCGCCGGCGGCGTTGGCGGCGCTGGCAACGACGACAACGACGACGACCATGCCGAAGATAATGGCGATGACGGCGGCGAGAGCGGCGTCGGTGGTGACGGCGACGACGAGGACTGCAGTGGCTTCGGCAGCGGCGGCACCGGCGGCCGCGACGACGTCTGTTTCGGCGGCGGCGGCGACGACGAGGACAGCACAGCGGTGGTGATGACGACGACGAAAACGACGACGACGGAGACGACGACGACGGCTATGATGTCAATGACGACGGCGACGACGACGACGCCGACGACGACGACGATGGCGACGAGGAAGCACCTCCAGCGCGACAACTGGGAGCCCAGAGTTGCGAGGATGTGTCAGGCGAAACGGCATTTCGGAGCCCAGAGTCGGGAGGATCCCCCTGGCGCAGTCGGCCAGACCACCTCGCACGCGGCACCTCGGATATCAGCGTTGCGAGGAAGGCCGCAGGCAGAACAGGCTGGACCATTTCAGCTCTTCAAGCCCAGAGTCGCAAGGATGTCCCAGGAGGTGCGAGGATGTTACAGGCGAACTTGGTCAGACCACCTCGCGTGCAGCATCTTCGAGCCCTGGTGTTGCGAGGACGTCTCAGGCGCAATTGGCTGGGCAACCTCTTGCGCGGCATCCGTGAGCTCCGAATGGCGGGGATGGCGCAGGCAAAATTGGCTGGACCACCTTGTCAGTCCGGACACTTCGGAACCCCATCGAAGATGTCCCAGGCGAAAAGGGCCAGACCACCTCACGTCACGGTATCTCTCAGCCCAGAGTTGTAAGATTGTTTTAAGCGAGACGGGATGAGCCATCTCGGATCAGGGCATCTTTGAGCGCAGAATTGCGAAGATATCTCCAGCGAAACGGGCCAGAATGTCTCTTGCGTTGGTAAGTTCTGGGCGAGAATGTGTAGGTTGGAAGGTCCCCAGAACAGAGCTGCCGTGGAGTGGGAGTGCCGGAACGTGGTGGAGGCGAGGGGGGGGCGTTTGTAGGTTCCGGGCGAGAATTTGTGGGTTGGGGGTTCCCAAGAACAGAGCTGCCGTGGGGGGGTGAGTGCCGGGACGTGGTGGAGGCGGGGGGTGGGGCGTTGGTACGTTCCGGGCGAGAATTTGTGGGTTCGGGGGTCTCAAGAATAGAGCTGCCGTGGGGAGGGGGAGTGCCGGGACGTGGTGGAGGCGGGGACGGGGGCGTTGGTAGGTTCCGGGTGAGAGTTTGTGGGTGTGGGGGTCCCAAAAACAGAGATGCCGTGGGGGGGGGTGCCGGGACGTGATGGAGGCGGGGGGGGGGCGTGGGTAGGTTCCGTGCGAGAATTTGTGGGTCGGGGGGTCCCAAACACAGAGATGTCGTGGGAGGGGGTGTGTCGGGACGTGGTGGAGGCAGGGACGGGGGCGTTGGTAGGTTCCGGGTGAGAGTTTGTGGGTTGGGGGGTCCCAAAAACAGAGCGGGGCGTGGTGGGGGCTCGGTGAGGGGTATCAGTGGGGGTCGGGCCAGAAATTGTCGTGTGGGGGGGGCCAAAAATTGAGCTGTCCATGGTGAGGATGCCAGGGCGTGGTGGGGGCGCGGTGGGGGGCATCGGTGGGAGTTGGGCCAGAAATTGTCGTGCGGGGGGGCCCACAAACTGAGCTGTCCATGGGTGCGGATGCCGGGGCGTGGTGGGGTGAGGATGCAGGGGCATGTTTGGGGCGCAGCGGGCCAAGAGTTGTGGCTGGGACATATGCGTGTTTGTTGCTGAGGTCGGTCGCACACGCCTCTGGGGTCGGCGGATTCAGTATTTTGTCGATCGGCGCGGGCCCTCGCACCCCCCCCCGTGGAGTAGATCTTGGCTGTTTTTTGCGCCTGTTCCGAGCAGGTGGGGTCTCCCCCGTAGGACGCACTGTCGCAAACAGCCGCGCTAAGCAGAGGTCCGAAGCCAAACAACCGCCCCCCCCTTTCCGCCCGGTGTCGGAGCGCTTGTTCGGGGGGCGCTCATTTGCCGCTTGGAGCAGGGGCCGCTTCGCTTTCTGTGGGCGTCGCGGATGTTGGACGGAATCCGAGCCTCGCGATTGCGCGTGTCTCCCCCGTAGGACGCACTGTCGCAAACAGCCGCGCTAAGCAGAGGTGCGTCGCCAGCAAAGAGCGTGTTCTACCGCTGCTAGCGGAAAACCGGGGGGGGTCACTGGGGAATGCGGGGACAGTGGTGGGAACGGTGGTGGTGGGGACTGGTGCGGGGACAGTGGGACAGTGGTGCGGACAGTGGTGGGGACGGTGGTGGTGGGGACAGTGGTGAGGGGACAGCGGGACAGTGGTGGGGACAGTGGCACAGTGGTGGGGACGGTAGTGGTTGGGACAGTGGTGAAGGCGGTGGTGAGGACAGTGGTGGGACAGTAGTACAGTGGGGACAGTAGGGACACTGGGGACAGTGAGACAGTGATGGGGACAGTGGGGACGGTGGGACAGCACAGTGGGACGGCGGCGGGGACAGTGGGACAGTGGTGGGTGCAGTGGGGACAGTGGGACAGAGGTGGGGACCGTGGGGAAAGTGGGGAGAGTGGGACCGTGGTGGGACAATGGTGGGGAGGGTGGGGACAGTGAGACACTCGTGGGGGTTCTGGTGGGGACAGCGGGGACAATGGTGGGAACAGTGGGGACCGTGGGACGGTGGTGGGGACGGTGGTGGTGGGGACAGTGGTGTGGGGGCAGTGGGAATGTGGTGGAAACAGTAGGACAGTGGAGGGTACAGTATTTGTGGGGGCAGTGGTGAGGGCGGTGGTGAGGACGGCGGTGAGATAATGGGACAGAGGTACAGTGGGGACAGTGGTGGGGACAGTGGTGGGGACAGTGGGGACAGTGGTGGGAACAGTGAGACGGCTCAGTGGGACAGCGGCGGGGACAGTGGGACAGTGGGGACAGTGGGACAGTGGTTGGGGCCGTGGAAAAAATGGGGAGTGGAACCGTGGTGGGAACAGTGGTGGGGACAATGGGGACAGTGCGATAGTGGCGGGGGCACTGGTGGGGACTGGGGATGGTGGTGGGGACAGTGGGGACACTGGTGGTGATCAGTGGTGGTGAGGACATTGGTGCTGGGGACAGCAGTGGGGGATGGTGCGCGGACGGTGGTAGGGACCTGGGAGTCGTTTGATGGCGGTGAGCGCGGGGGGGGGAGGGTCCGAACCGGTAGTGACACCCCCCGTTTCGAGGGTGGGGAGGTTCGAACCGGTAGTGACCCCTCCCGGTTTTCGAGGGGGGGGGGTCGGGGGGGTCGAACAGGTAACCCCATGCCCACGATAATAATGTACCCCCCCCTTAAGTCGTTAGAGTTTTTTATCGTCGACCAATAAGAGTTTGGTCGGGGGCGCGGGGCGCGGAGGCCAAACTTCATTATCACCTCGGAACGTTATGTTGAGATAGCAAGATCAAGTTATGTTGAAATAGCAACATCAAGCGAAGCGATCACACTTTTTTCAGGATGTCTCAAGCGAAACAGAGAATTTTGGGAGGCAGGCTCAAACGAAACGAGCAATGTTTCAAGGATGTCTCAAGCGAAACCAGTAATTCTGTGAGGATGTCTCAAGCGATTCGAGAAGCTTGTCGAGGATGTTTCAAGCGAAACAAGCATATACTCGAGGATGTCTCGAGCGATTCGAGAAGCTTGTCGAGGATGTCTCAAGCGAAACAAGCATATACTCGAGGATGTCTCAAGCGAAACAAGCATATACTGAAGGATGTCTCAAGCGAAACGATACGTTTCTTAAGGATGTCTCAAGCGAAAACAACAATTCTGTGAGGATGTCTCAAGCGAAACCAAGAATTTTGGGAGGCAGGCTCAAACGAAACGAGCAATGTTTCAAGGATGTCTCAAGCGAAACCAGCAATTCTGCGAGGATGTCTCAAGCGATTCGACAAGCTTGTCGAGGATGTCTCAAGCGAAACAAGCATATACTCGAGGATTGCTCTTTTTCTTCCTCTTCTCTTCTCCTTCTTTTTTCTCAATTTATATTTGTATTTCTTTATATGTTTCTTTATTTCTTTCTTTTTTTCCTCTCTCTCCCCATGCCCCCCTGAACTTGTTTATCCCTGGTGTCGATTATCCATGGCAAGTGAGGCGCATGAGCTACCTACACGAGATCTCAAAAAAAACAAGTTTCAGAAAGCGCTTGTAAATTAAATCTAATAGATTTGGAACTTGATGTTTTTGCTCTTTTTCTTCCTCTTCTATTATCCTTTTTTTGTTTTCTTAATTTATATGTTTATTTCTTTATGTATGTCTTTATTGCTTTCTTTTGTTTCCTCTCTCTCCCCATGCCCCCCTGAACTTGTTTATCCCTGGGGTTGATTATCCACGGAAAGTGAGGCACATGAGCTACCCTACACGAGCACTTAAACATTTTAATGTTCATAAAGCGCTTGTAAATAGAAATTTGATACATTTGAATCTTCAGATTTTTTGTTTTATCCTCCTTTCCTCTCCTCTTCTACGTCTCCTCCTCATTTCTTCTTCTTCCGTTGCCATTTTGGCTCAAGATCGGGACAGGCCCGTTTTGAGTGCGGCAGCCCTTCTTCCAGGGCCACCCAGCTGTCAAAGGCTGGCGGACACCCCCACCACCAGTGCGTCTCATGGCTGATGCAGTCCCTGCGGCGCATGCGAGCACCCAGGAGCGCCAGATGCTTGCAGAGCTTGACGAGATGCCCACCTTCCCCGACGGTGAGCGCTCGGGCAAAGGCCAGGGCACGGGCCGCTTCACCCAGCGCAAGCGCCAGGCCCTCGCTTCGTCTTCGGTCGGTGCTCCTGTACCTTCTCCTCATGATGATGAAGATGACGATGGTGACTTTCTCCGGCAGCTCTGCAGAGAGGAGTTTGCTTCGATGCGGGACACCATCACCACCGAGGTGTCAGAGTCGGTTGCCAAGACCATCACCTCCAATCACAACACGTTGCTCAAGATGCTGTCGCCCATGCAGGGCGAAGTGGCAAAACAATCCAGTGCCATCGAGAGCCAGGTTCAATCGGCGATTGCACCCAGACTCGACTCGCTCAACAGACGCCTCCAAGCCCAGCTTGACGAGCAGAAGCGCAGCATCGACGCGCTGGAGGGCAGAGCCGACGAGCATGACAAGTCCATCCAGGATCTTCAGGACCAGCTGGCGGAGCTTCGTCGCCAGATGGCCATCGCTGAACAGACTCCCAGGAAGCAGCTGGTTGCTCCCACCTCCTTCGACCGCGAGGAGGACACCACGATCGTTGTTGCCGTCTCACAGCGACCGACTACCTTGGCGTCAGTGGTCTCATCGCTACGCCCGTGGCTCGGCGAGATTGGCTTTGATGACGAACAGTATGAAATCAAGCAGAAGGGTGAGTCCCCGGCCAGGAGGTTCGAGATCTGCTTCTCGGGCTCGGCCACCATCGCCTCGCGCCGTGCCAGCAAGGCCACCTCGCTCCTCAAGGGTCCCGACGGCTGGAAAGAGTTCTGGGTCGACCCTCCAGGCGCCGAGCGTTGCCGTTTGCACCTCGGCCCCGACAAGTCACCCAAGCGCATCAAGACCGAGGTCACCCTCCGCAAGGCCAGGGCGATCATCGAGCTGCAGTACCCAGGCAAGCGATTCTACTCCGACCGCGAGCATGGCGTCCTCTCCATTGGGTGGGACAAGATCATGCAGGTCAACGTCTTCCATGGCGACACCCCGCCCAAGCTCTACTGGGACTCTGCGCAGCTTGCCAAGCACGCCATGGCTATCGACACGCTCCGCAATGCTGTCAAGGAGCTCACGCATCCGTCTGATCCCAGCCAGTGGTGTCTTTAGCGCAGCTGGACTATTTCGCCTTCCTCCCCCGCCGCCTGGGTCGGCGGCGCCGACGTTTCGGATCGCTACGTGGAATTCTCGGGCTCTTCTTCAGGCTGGCGGGGATAAGGCCATCCTGAAGAGACAGTATGTTCTCAGTCTTCGTCCCCTCTCCACGGTCATCGCGCTGCAGGAGGTGCACCAGGACCACTTCCAGCTCGACTCGTTCTTCCGATCGATTGCGTCGGGCCTCGCGATCCACTCCAGCTTCATCTCTGACGCGGATGACGGGCATCGGCGAGGTGGGGTTGTTGTGGTGCTTCCGCCGCTGGCTTGTCAGGGCCTCTCCGCTCCGTCCTCATCATCCACTGTTCTGGTTCCTGGCCGAGCGATGCTAGTCCGAGTTTGGGATGACTGCCGCACGCTCGACATTTTCAACATTCACAATCATGGTCTGTCCGCCCAGCAAGTTCGCGAAGTGGCTGCTGCGATGCGAGTATCGCAACGTGCTGCCGCCCTCGACCCCGACATGTACACCACCTTTGTTCTCGGGGACTTCAATTTTGCCACGCATGAGGCTCTCGCGCTCGCTGCCCCCGCGGCGGCCGTGCGCAAGCTGTCGAAGTGCCGCCACGTGCAGGCGCCCAAGTGGCGCCAGGCCCTCGCCCTCCTGACTGAGATTGCGTGCGAGGACCCCACGCGCTACGAGAAGTTCAACGACTCGTGCGCGACGATCGACCGCGTCTTCTGCTCGATCACGGGCTGGCAGCTCTGCCAGCTGTTTGTCCAGATTGGCGCGCTTGGCTCGCCGGCGGCCGTCTTTGACAAAAAGATCTCTGACCATGCTGCCGTTGTTCTCTCGCTTGCCTGCCGCCCGCCTCGTCCAGCGGAGTCCCGCCCCATCCCCAAGCACCTGTTCTCTGAGCCTGGTTTCAAGCGTCGCCTGGAGGGACTGTGCTCCTGCATCCCGTGGGACTCCATGTCGCCCCCGTTCAAGGTTGAAAAGTACAAGGAGCTTTTGGCGATTTCGGCCGCGGAGACCAGGGGCGCCCTCTTTCGAGACAGACCACATCACCCGCACACCTGCCTCTTGCTCGCTCGTGCCCTCGCCCGTGTGGTTTGGAGACAAGACCTACGCATGGCTTCCAGGCTCCAGGACTCCCACCCCCTGGCCATAGACATGATATCGATTACCAACGGGAAGGTCGAGATCCGCCACCCGCCGTCCTTCCAGGCTTGGGTCGACCAGGTCCAGACTGAGGCTGCTGAGTCCGCGAAGGCTGAACTTGAAGATCGCAGGCGGCGTGAAGGTGACCGCGCCCAGATTCGTGCCCAGGTCCGCGCTCTTGAACGGCGCGCTCGTCTCTGGCCCCCTCTCAACCGAAGGATATCACTCTCAGCGGTTATCGCGCCTGATGGCTCGGCGGTCAGCGTCCCATCTGATCGACTGCGGGTACTATCGGAGCACTGGGCCCCTGTCTTCCAGAAAAAGCCGTGGGACTCCGCTGCTGCTGCTCCTTACCTACGCCGCCTTGCCCCTGACCTTCCCGCCGACCTTCGCCTCCCCCCGCCGTCGAAAAATATGCTACGGCGTGCGATTCGATCTGCCCAACACTCTGCCCCTGGGCCTGATGCTCTCCCATATGCGGCGTGGGCGGCGTCCTCGTGGGGGGCTGACATACTTTGGGACGCTCTTGGATGGGTTCTCAGGGGCCAGGAGTTGTTTGCGAATACTAGTGACACGATCCAGATTTTTCTGCCCAAAAACGTCACGGACTTGGAGCTCCGCGATGCCAGCTGCTCCCGCTCCCCAGACAAGGTTCGGGTCTTGGGCCTCAGGAACTGTGACTTGAAGCTCATCTCGTCCACGGTCAATCGGGCGATACGACCCGCCCTGGTTTCTCTCGCCCCGCCGTGCCAGCGTGGATTCATCCCGGGGAGGAATTTCGGCAACAACATCCTCGAGCTCGACGTGTCGTCTCGTCAGATGTCGGTCGTGCCTCACGGGTCTACCGATATCCCTGTGCTGTATTCCTTGGACTTCGGCCAGGCCTTCCCGTCCCTGAATCAGGACTTCTTCATTCTCTCCCTTAGGGCCCTCAAGCTGCCCGAGGCTTTCGTGTCCTTCGTCGCGTTCCTATATGCATCGGTGGAAGGGGTTGTCTCGCACCTAGGCTCGCTTGTGCACATCTTCTGGATCCAGAGCGGCATCATCCAAGGTTGTGCCTTATCTGGCACTCTCTATGCGTTGAGTACGGCTGTCTTCTTGGTCGACCTGGCGTCTCGGGTGGAGGCCGCTGGCCTTGGCCTGGTTCGGGCCTGTGCTGATGACATTGGGGGCACGTTATTGGCCATTCGCCACCTAGCTCATGTTTATCGGGTTATGAAGATGGCCTCGGACTTGGCCAACCTCGCCTTGAAGGTCTCGAAATGCAAGATTGTCCCGTTGTCTGACAGGTTCTCGCCCAACCTCTCCGCCACAGTCTCCTACTGGGTCTCCCATCTGGTCCCCGAGTGGAGCTCGTTCGAGGTGGCTCCCAAGCTGCTCTACCTGGGCCTCTGGCTGGGGCCTGCTGTTGTTCCGTCCACTTCGTGGATTGACCCCGTCGCCAAATTGCGTCTCAGGGCCCGAGCCATCGGGCGGGGAACCGCTCCCGCCAGCCTTTCCGCTACACTGTACAATACTCGGGCCGTCACGACCATATCTTACGTTGCCCAATTCTGCTGGCCACCAGCGTCCGTGCTGCAGCCTGAGTTGTCGACGCTCGCGCAGGTGTTCCGCATCCCGCTCGGCACTTTCGCCCTCGACTTCTGGACGCAGATCGCTCAGTGGGGCGGCCCGCGCTGCACGCGGTGGGGGCACCTGGCCGTCGCCACCATCACGCGAGCTGCGCTGCGCACGTTCCCTGGCTGGGAGAGGCTTCTCCAGCAGCTGAGGAACCACGCGAGTTCTGCCCCGTACGATGCCACCCTGTCCATGCTGGCGACCGGCAAGCCGTGCCCGTCCTTCTGGTTGGCCCCCGCCTTTGTGGAGAACCTGGAGCTGGCCGCCGCGGGCACCCCTCCTCCTGGCCCTCTGGCCGTCTTTGGTGATCGTGCTGCCGTCGCTGCGCTGGCTGAACTTCGTGAGAGCGGCCGGCCCCGTCCTCGTCCTCAGAGGGCTGCTCACGAAGCGCTGCGGGCCTTTGCGATGTTGAACAAGCCTATCACTGACCTCTTCGTGCTGCGCCTGAGGAAGTTCGCTGGCAGGTCGGCGGGCCTCTTATCGCACATCGACTGGGGCGTGTGCAAGAGCGTCCTCGCCCGCTGCCCGTGTTCGTGGGCCATGGCAGTCCTGCGCACTTGGTCCGATGGCTGGATGACTTCGGCCCGTATCATCTCTCCTGACGGGCAGAAGCATTGCGTTTTTGGTTGTCTCGGCAAGCTCGACTCGTTGCGGCACTATGCGAGATGCCCCGTCATGCACCGTGCCCTTCGACAGGCTCTCGCGAGACCGTTCCCGCTCCCGTGGATGTCCAGATGGGGCTTATCTGAGCCCTCGCTGGCCACCTTCTCGGCAATGGCGGCCGCCTACAACATGTACAACGAAGCGAGGCTGGCGCCCGTGTGGCCCCTGTCCCCGCCCCTCCTCCGCAGCTGCGCTCTCGCTGGTGCACGTTCGATGCAGCTTGCGTCACCGCTGAAGTGCTCGGAGATCGACCGTGACCAGCTCGGCCGACGGGACTACCTCATCCGCAGCTCTTCGTCTTCTTCATCCTCGGGGTCGTCTCCACGGCTCACCCCTGCCGTTTCGTCGTCAGACAGCGACGCGGCCACCGTCTCCACGGCCATCGCCACGATCCCGTCGGACTCCGACGCTGATGATGCACTTCAGCTTCCAGCGACGCCGCCAGCTACGCGCTCTCCCTCGGCTTCGGCGACTTCCTCCCCACCTTCCTCCGCGCCCCCGTCGTTGACGCGCTCCACTTCAACACTGAGAGCGACCCCATCTCCTCCAACGGCGTTGAGAACTCCACGGATGGCGGCCGCCTGCTCATCATTGTCGCCGCCGGCCCCAATTTCGCCCTGTGCTTCTGTGTCGCCGTCCCCGCCAGTGACGCTCTCGTCTACGGGCTCGCCTGCCTCGTCGCCTCCCTTCGGCGTTAGATCGCAAGTCCCGTTGTCGTGTTCGGGCTCACTGTCGCCAGATGCTGGATGCCTCGAGACGCCCCAGATGGGCTCAGGCGTTAGATCGCAAGACCCGTTGTCGTGTTCGGGCTACACGTCGCCACGTGATCACTGCCTCGAAGAGGAGCATCTCTCCAGTGGCGTTAGAATGCAAGTCCCGTTGTCGTGTTCGGGCTCGCCGTCGCCACAAGAACGTCGCCGTGATTCGGGACGCTGGTCCGTCGGCGTTAGATCGCAAGTCCCGTTGTCGTGTTCGGGCTCGCAGTCGCCACGTGTCGGACGAAATCCTGTGAACCTGGTGGCGGCTCGACGATCGGTGCGATCCCCCTCTCCGATTTCCACGCGCTCTCCGATGGCGCGCTCCCCGTCAGTGTCGCCGACGGCTCCGATGACGCTCCCACCGCTGCCCTCTGAGTGTGATTCGGAAAATGAGCGGCATGCTGTTTCTTTTCCCCCGTGCTCATCCGTCGCCCCTCCGACGGCCACCCTGGCCACGCCTCTCCCTTCGCTCTCTTGCAGCCCCGTGCCCTGCACCCAGGCTCCAGCTTTGCCCGTCACCTCCCCTGGCGCCGTTTTCCTCTGCCCTCCCCCCTCCTGTCCTTCGCTCCTGAGCTCTGCTCCTGCCGTTGCTTGCCCCCCGCCCGCTCCTCCTCCCACTGCGTCGCAGCACCGCCTGTCCCACCCACTTGTGCCCGACTGTAGCATCGTGTCTCCGCCCAGCGTTTCCCCCTCCGCTCCGTCCCTCGAGGCCTCCCTGCTGCTGCCCTCTGCTGTCTCGCCTCTCCTTCTCTCCCCCGCGCTCG